ATCTTACAAGACAAGACTCGTTGAGATTCTTTTAGGAAAATTCTTCGTATCTAACTCAACAATATTTGGGAACAGCCCGTTCGGAAAGGAGTTTTCAAATTCCCCTATGTTCATATCAAGCGCCAATCGAATATGGCTGCTGATCAAATTGCTAAAATGGGACATTCACTGCAGCAGGATTTTGTTGTTCTTTCTCATCTCCCGTTAATGTTAAACTTTTGTGTATTTTAGATATTATAAAATATGAATTTTTCAAGAACAACTAGTGTATTTTGTTTTGTTTTGTGTTGGTTTAATGATATCATCTCCATTTATCAAAAAAAAAAAAAAGTTTTCAAATATATTAATTGAAGAGTGACAGTAAAAATATCCTTAGGAGTTAGGAGATGAATGGAAAGAACTTTTCTATTATTAATTTTTTTTTAAGTTAGGTACTTCTCTAATTTTAAAATCAAATGTTAAGATTTATGTGATATAATTTTATTTATTTATTTTTTTTGAACTTGGGAAATTTGTTTCAATTTTATTGGATGTACCCGAAGTAACTGGAAAATTTGTTGGAAAGGGGAAGTAGAACCTAGCATTAGAATTTAGGTCAGACGTTCAAGCACACCATCTTAAGTGAGTGGTTAGTAGCTTCCAAAGTGCTGGACGGTATAATTTATCTGTTTGGATAATATTTATTTAAAAATTATGCTTTCTTTCTTAGGACTCGATGGTTGGACCCTTTAAAATTCAATAATAGTGTTGAATTATTGTCCTAATAATACTTAAAAGATAATTATTGAGTCCTTGGAGTTTACTATCCAATCCCATTAACCTCTAATTTGGACTTGATGTTTTCGTTGTAATCTTGTGTCAATCCGTCTTTTTGCTGGAAAACCGCTTTCAAAATACTCTTTGGAAGTTAATTTCTAAAGATTTTATTTTATAATTTTTGTTGGCTGAAATTTTTTTTTGTCAACTTATTTTTTAAAAGGTAACCAAATGGATACTAAACAATATCTTTTCTTTGTTTAATTTTAATAGATTTGATTTTTAATTTAAACTATTTAAATTTAATTATTTATTTTTTAAAATATTATTAATATACTTATTTTTATTTTAAAAATAATTATAATATATATTAAATCAAAAATTATTTAAGTAGTAATTAATAAAAGATTTAATTATTAATTTTAGTTTTATTAGATAAAAAATTATTCTTATTAGGGTTCCTCTAATCTATATCATTAATACATAGATTAAGAATACTTTTTAAACATTAATTGTCATAAAAAAATATAATTTAATATTCATTTAATCAACCATTCAATTAAATAATACATGTAACATTAATGATAAAATTAATGTCAAATTTTATTATTTTTTATACTAATTAATATAAAAAATATTAATTATACTGTTAAAAGTTATTTGGGCAAAACAAACAGACCAATAAGAAAATTAGGTTTTTCTAACCTGTGTTCAAAAGAACATGTTAAGAAGAATTTTTTATTATAAATGTATATAAAAATTATAAAAATTGATATTAATTTTAGTATTAGTGTTAGTATTAAGTTGATAAATTTAATTAGATAATTAATAAATTAAATATTAATTTTTATTTTTTTAATATAAATTTATAAAAAAATATATTAAATATATCCTTAATCTATCCCCTTAGGATAGATAATTCCAATTAAATTTTAATAAACAATATAAAAACTTCTTTTTTTGGTTAAATCCCAAATTTGATCTTTAAACTATGGTATAAATCTACTATCTAAATTAAAAAAATTTTTGATTTGATACTTGAATTATTGTATAAACTCTTAATTTAATCTTATTATTTACTTCTTTGCTCTGAGTTATTCTTTCCATATAAAAAAAAATAACTTACTTATTTCATTATTAAAATAATGCGTGACAGATAAGTAACTTTTTTTTTTTTATTCGAAGAAATCAATTTAGGATAAATCGATAAATAATAAGATCAAATCGGGGTTCGCGTAGTAATTTGAAATAATTTAGAGAACAATTCAAAGATTTTTTTAGTTAGCGACCGGGTTTAACCTTGTCTTCTTTTTTTTTTTTTTCTTTCTGTTCTTCATTTTCACAATAATTGCTCTTTCCTCTTAATGAATAAATAAATAACTTCTGAATGGCAGCATCCGACTCATGGGTGACCTTTAGGAGCTTGACTCACCTTCAAACCATTCGCCTTTCCTTCTCGGAACTTCCAATGACAGCTTCATCCGTCCCCCAAACGACGACGTACCTATCTGTTCACACGTCGCACACAACCCTGAACCCTGAACCCGAGACCGATCCCGACTATAGTCCTCTTGGTTCGTGTATGGTCAAAGCTACATCACCTGGGTTCGTCGGCGTTGGCTTGTATTCCTCAACCGGGGTCCGGCAGAGAGGACAAGTGGAGTGAGAGTAGAACCACATGTCACTACACTCTGTGTGGAAACTGTGTTTACACTTGGGCAGAATCCGACCCGATTCGTTTTCTTCAAACTCCGACAAGCAAACGACGCACTCCATGACAGAATCGGGGTGGGTTTCGGCGGAGTACGTGAAAAGGGGGAGAGACCTGAGGACACGAGCCTCGAGACCACGCGAAACGGTGGTGGCTGGGTTATAATCCGAATCTACATTGAAAACGACGCGTGTCCGACCAACGCCACGAACGCGGGCTAGCAACTGACGGCGGCGCGCGCGGAGGGTGAACCAGCGGGCGTAGAGATGGAGAGCAAACACGATGACCACTACAAAAAACAAAACGACTAAGGCGCTGTATAATAGGTTGCTGGAGGCGGAAGGTGGTTCCATGATGATGTTTTTTGTGCTCCGGGGTAGATTTAGTACGGGAGAGAAATGGGGAAAGGGGATTCGGATTTATTGACAAAAGAAAAAGGCGGGGACCTGTAATTTCCTTGCACCTCCTTTGTGCTCCAGTTATCTAAAATTCGACGTGGGGGAAGGGGGATTCATGTTTAATTACTATAATACGCTTGTTGCAACTTCTGAGAAAGACGTCGGCCCAGTTTTATCTGTGGGTTTGTTGGGTTATGGCCTTATGGGTAGATCTGACATTGGGTCTCTAGGGAGTTTGGTCCTGAACAGATTGGACTGGGCTTTGCAAAACGGTACAAAAAATGTTCTCTAGTCCCTCTTATAGCTTTGAGTTTGAGGGGCAAGGTTGATCACAGTTTGTAGTGTAGGGGCTTTTTAATTAGCGGAATGTTATGGACATAACTTATATTAAATATATGTAATATAATATTAAATAAATAGATATATGTTATATTATAAATAAAATTTTTAATAAAAAGTTAATTACATAATAAATTATATTATAAACTTATCGGAAGGGTGGAGTTCATAAAGTACAAGAAGGAGCATACAGAGGCAGCTCAACTCACAGGAGCTTCTTGTCTCCCACAAGAGGTTCTTGGGGAACTGCACATCAGTCATCGCTTGGAAAAAATAAATATGCTAATGTTGATCACTCTCCTACGATTGACCATGGTTTTGAGGCTAATGACTGTAATATGGGGCCAAAGGAGGTCTCAGTCTCCTCCATTATATTAAAAGGTACTTTTTCTAGAAGTTATTTTCAGCTGAACCTGTTGCGTGGTTAGTTTGTGTAAACTGTTCACCTGTTGCAGCTTCGTCAGTCACTTGTAGATCAAGGAAGTGGAGCTTGTATTGATTTTACTATTCCCACGGATGACACTGAGGAAAATGGATCTGAAGGTGGGTTCCCTGATTTTGGACATGATTTTGATGTGCCAGAGAGCATGACTATGAAGGAAGATGCTTCTTTTCACCATGACAAGGTTAGTAAATTAGAATGAGATTATGCATGAATGTTTATCCAATAACAATGTGGGATTTTGTAATTTTTCTTACTAAGTGATTTTTATATATAAAGCATGGTGCTGCTATGGCTCATTTTGGAACTGATGAAGCATTTGACAATGTGGGTCCCAGTTCTCAAGAAACTCTGGAAGATCTGTGTCGCTCTCACCTTGTATGTACACTTTATCAGGATAATTCTGCCTCCTCACCCCCCCCCCC